GACGCGGTAGGAACGGTTAAGGACGTTGTCGTGGACCGACGGAGGTACGTAGTACGAGACGACGAGACGGACGGCCGACGCGGAGGAGGTTAGGTCTGCGGAGGCCAGGGAGCGAAGCAGCAGAGGCCGAGCGGGAGAGGTTGGCTGCGGAGGCCAGGGAGCAAGCAGCAGAGGCCGAGCGGGAGAGGTTGGCTGCGGAGGCCAGAGCGCGGAAGGAGCCCCCTGCCCCACTGCCCCGAGAGGACCAGCCGGCCAAGGGGGAGGCACCCGAGCCGTCCGTCGAAGCCCCCCCTGCCCAACCTGCCCCGGAGGACGCGCCAGCCGAGCCCCCCGCCCAACCCGCCTTGCTGCCCCGAGAGGACGAACCGACCGAGCCGCCCCCTCTCCAACCTGCCCCGTTGCCCCAAGAGGACGCGCCGGCCGAGGCGGGCCCACCCGGGCAGTCCGTTCAGCCGCCCCCTGCACAGCCAGTACCGCTGCTCACATACGATGAGTGGCAAAACAAGTGGGAGCACAAATTGATTTCCTTCCGGATAGAGCATCCTGACGAGGAGAAGGATATCAACGGGTATTTGGATGGTTACAATCATCTGCTCCCGTTCTTACAGCTGTTAGAAGCCAGTTTTCCCTCTTTCTACCCCCTGATCGACGTGTCTGCCCACACCTTAGCAAGACAGATCTCGAGCGCGGAGGCAAAAGGGCGACGCTTCACGGGGGGGTGGTTTCATGTCAAAGACGTCCCGACAGCAACAAAGCCGAATCACTTTACTTTTCTGCTCATCGATCGAGAGACCAACACGGCCGAGTATTTTGACAGCTGTGGTGTGGATACCGCTGTGCTTACGTGGATAGAGAAGAGGTTCGGCTGCAAGGTGGTCTCAGCGACGACCTGCCACCAGTCGGAGGGAAAAGAATGCCTCGTCTACTGCTGCTACTTTGTCAAGGAGCGCCTCCTACGGGAGACGTACGGTGTGCCATATGGCACATCGTTTGCGGAATTCGAAGCGGTACCTATCCCGCCCGGGTTGATGCTGATAGAGAGAAACAGGCTGTTTCCGCCTGCTTCACGTCCGGGCCAACTGCCACCCCCTTTTCTCTCTCCGTTCGAGGCCAGGGCGAGGGCCGGGGCAAGGGCGCGGGCTGCCAGCATAGTTCAACGGGCTTGGCGTCGTTTTCGCAATCAGGCCCAACCCCAGCCCCCATTGCCGCCACCCCCACCGCCCATCTCTCAGGCTCTTAGCCCTGCCCCAGGCGTGGTCCCACTCGACACCCCAAACCCAGAAACCCTGACCCCAGGCCCCTCCCAGCCTAGCCCCACTATAGAGCGGGTTACCAAAGCCGCTTCCCCCCTCCCTGACCGTGGACCAGTCCCCGACGCCCCAGACCCCTCTCAGCCCAACCCCACTCTAGATCGGGTTGCCCCATGTCCCTCCCAGCCTAGCCCCACTCTCAAGAGGAGCCTTAGGCTTCGCGAGCGGGTTGCCCAAGCGGATTCCCCATCACCGCCCTCGGCCCCGAGTCCTCCGACCCAAAGCCCTGACCGCGGCCCAGTCCCTGCTGACGCCCCAGCACCCTCCCAGCTTAGCCCCACTGCCAAACTTTTGAGGAGCCTCGAGACGGACTCAGAAACACTATATGATGCAGGAGAGTATGCGGCTGCAGAACTGGGGTACAGGGACGCCATCTTCCTACTGTTGCCTTCGTCCCCTTGTGCGGAGCTGGCTGACCGCTACACAGACCTCGGGTTGGCTCTCTTCAACCAGGGGCGGTTCTTTGCAGCTGAAGCCCCATTTCGGTCGAGCTTGCAAGAGAAGGAGAGACTATCCCTGGTAGGCGAGAACGATCATTACAACCTCGCAAACACTCTTGCTATGAAGGCGTTTGGGCTGACATCCGAGGCTCGCAGGCAAACTCTGGAAGAAGCGCTCAGCGAAGCACGCAGCGAGCTGAATCTGGTGAAACCAGCCGCGGTCGAGGACCTGGACGTGGACGACAACGCGGTCACGTTGGCTGACGAGATTTGCCGTAGACTGGAACCAGTGGAGGAGGGTCACACCTCGTGCGATGTGATCTGTAAGAAAACCTGGGGGGTGCTCTTCAAGAAGGCCGAAGCAAAGGTGCGGGCGAAGGGGAAGCGGAAGCGCGCGGACAACGCTCCCAAAATACGATGTGTGTGTGGCGATTGCGGTGAGCAACCCCAGCCCCGTTGGTTCCGTCGACCCATTTGGTGCAAACTTTCATCTGTCGATTGGGTCAGTCAGGGTGAGGCACACGGATCAACCCTTTTCGTGAAACGGCTTTTCTGTCTTCCTGCAGGTGGAAGAGATGCTGCTGTGTCGCTTGAGGGATTTGCGGAGCATGCGGGGTGTGGTGGAGACTGGAGGGAGACTGTACTGAGGAATCTTCCTACCAGCACACAGAAGCTGAATGATGTGCGTTATCCTGAACTTGCAACTTCGTCTGAGTCGATTGTCTCAAGTCGCATCGCTCGCTTTCTCTTGAACTACTCACGGTCTGCACGACATGACAATATGTCCAACCTATGCAGGATCGGGAGGATCGAGAGACCGAGGGTGAGGAACAGGAGAATGAGGGTGATGCACTACTTAAGCAGGGGAGGTTCGAGGAGGCTTTGGGGTGTTATGAGAAGGTTTTGAAGGAGGTTGGGGTGAGGAAAGGGCCTTGTGATCTTGAGATAGCCCTGGCACTTAGTGACGTGGGGGTCTGTTTGTACAACCTGGATCGCGACCGGGAGGCGGAGCTTTTTCAAAGGCGAGCATTGGAGATAACTGAACAGGAGCTCGGGATGGAGCACGAGGAAACCGGGCGGGCAGCGGCAAACCTAGCGCGTAGCCTTCGTGTGCTTGGTCAGAAGGAGGAGGCTATGCATCTCTTTCACAGAGCCCTCGACGTCAGGGAACTACTGGCACGGACCCAGGAGGGCGGCGTTGAGGCCCAGATTGAGGGCGGCGCTGTTGATCCTGGTGTGACCAAGGCACGGGAGAGGTCCCTCGAGCTGGCTGAGGCACTTGAGGACGTTGGAGAGTCGCTGAACTCGCTGGGCCGGGGGTTGCAGGGGGCACCTTATCGGAAACGTTGCCTGGTAATCAAGCAAGAGGAGCCAGGCATTGAGGACGTCACAACTGCCGACCTATTGGCACTGCACTCTACGATGGAGTCGTCCCTGTCTGCTAGAATGCGGCACGCGAAAGAACCCCGGACGCCCTCGGCCACCAAACTATCAAAATCTCGGTAAGAGCTGATATGCGGTCTTTCAATCTGTATTCAAATGTCAAACAAACGAGAGATCTGATCGCGCGAATGCGCAAAGGTGCAAAGGAGCCGCTATTAATCTTTAAATGCCTTTTTGCAGTTCCCACATCGAGTGCATGACTCGGCTAGACGTGATCTGCCATCCGTCATCAGCATCCCAGCCGAGCACGCGGGAAGCAAAGACTGGCCGGATGTACTTCGACAAGCAGGACCCAAATGTGACTCCTTTGGTCATCTGCAACTGTCGAGAATGCGGTAAGTTTCTTGTGGAGTTGGAATGTTCTCTCAGCGATTGCAAATGGTCTTCACTCTGTCCAGCTATCTAATCGAATTATCGCTGCAAAACACGGTATTGAATTTCCGAATGCTGTATGTAGGTGGGAGGAAACTTTTTTTACCCTACGAGTTCGAGACGCATGTTGGCCGGGAGAGTTCGAAGAAGTGGAAGGAATCGATCCGAGTCCTGAACAAGAACGGAACGGAGGCACCACTGCCTACAAGCATCACTGCGAGTGAGTGAGTAAACGGTTCCGTTATTGGTTGGTTGGTCGAAAGTGGTTGTTCTGTGAGCTTCATAACGTCCGGTTTTGACTGATCGATGGTCTCGCATTCACACCGTTCCATTTTTTTTCAGGTAGGAACCCTTGCAGAACGGGAGAAGGGGGTGAGCCGGCAGAGGGTGAGACGCCAGAGGCTCCTGGAGATGCAGGTGAGCTCTCTGCCCGTTCTGCGGACATGCTCGAAATGACCTGGCATGAGCATTGTCTCCAGTTGCATGCGCAATCTTATGTATCGACCTTTTTCAAGCTTATATTTACATCTTGCAGGGGCGGTCTCCGTCCATGTCACACAATTGTATCGAGTACCGCGAGCCAGACAAGTAGGGAAGGACTTGAGGATTGACATCGACCCAGAGTGCTGGTCCGGGGTAGAGCCGCGACCGAGATTCACGACTGTGAACAGTTGGAAAAAGCTGAGGCAGAATATTGGTGCGCAAGCAGGTTTCTGCCGAGGTAAGGGAGCCTTCAGATACTTCCTTTGAACGAATGATGAGCACGCACTATTCTTCGCCTGTGCTATTCCTCGTTTTTCCCAATTGTACCGTGCTGACATTGGTGTGTCCTTGCAGTGGTTGTAACCTTTGCAGAAACCGTCGAGATCGTCGAAGTCGAAAAGGTGGCCCGGGAGTGGCAAAGGAGGACTGTTGAGAAGCCGGGGAAAGGGGAGCTTGACATTGAAGTGGAGATGTTGAGTGAAGTAGTGTAGATACTTCAATAGAATTAGGGGGGGGGGGGTGTAATCTAGTACGTAGCCTAGTTGCTCCAGAGCTTGTCGTCCTATGTATTCAGAATAGGCTGGTGGTATTGCTTGAGCGAACGTCTTACCGGACTGTGTCCAATCTATTTGCATTGCATCAGACCACTCCTGCACGGTCCCCCGTACTCGTCCCGGTGTCCCGTACATAGGAAACATTTCAGTAGCTTTATTTTGCTGTTCGATTTGAGGGCGTCTCTTGTACATTTGAGATGTTCGAGGAGACCGGCCTGCTTCAAAGACTGTCACCTTGCACTTGACAGATCTCTCGATTTCACGGATGGATCGGAATCTCACACCACTTGCTGAAAAGTAATATGCATCCGTTGTCCCAGATGATTCTCCACTTTTCCTGGTAGTGTACTCGCATCTCCACTCTCCGGGGTTTATATGGACTTCCATCGATCCGGAATCGGTTTCGACGATATCCATGGGCTGCTTTGTGACCGATTGGGATATTGGAGAACGACTTCCGAGACTCTTACCTGTGTGGTTGCACTTCCGGTCTACGTGTAGACCAAACTTGTCTGAACACCTTCATGTTCTGAAACATGGTCCCACAGAGCATCGCAGGTTCTCGCAGCTCGTTTTGCACGTTCTCTATCACGTAGAGTTTCCCACTGAGTGCCAATTTTTCTCGAATTGGGGTTATGAGGTTCTGATGATGCCACATGTGGCCATATTTTTCACGGTACGCTGTGGGAATGATACTACTAAATTGTTGGCATGGTGGAGATGCCCAGATGAAGTCCGCCTTGGAGACGTCTGCCGTCATTGCGCACTCGTTGACAGAGTCAAACGGATATACACTATTCTTTGGTATCATAGCCCAGGACATCAAATCCAGCTGTAAAGAGTCCCATGGCCGCTCCACCACCTCCGCAAAACAAGTCTAGTGCTAACGGTCGTTTTCTTAACCCGTCGCTTCCAGTGGGGATGCGAGTAACTCTCACCTCTTCCACATTGATCATCATACTGATTATTACCATTTTCATCGAAAGTGTCGCGCCAAACCGCCGGTTGGTGAAAAATTTCGTATAGAGACGCTCATATATTGCAGCAACATATAATATACCACATATAATTCCACCGCCGAAACAATGGCTGTAATGGCATGACGGTGAAACGAGACGTGAACGCTGCCCGGAACATCCTTCCGCAACGCCAGGATATCCAGATATGTACATAACGAAGTGATTTTAGGTACATGATACTTTTGCAAGATTACATGACTGGAAGCGCCATGCACCATGCAAGCAACCAGTAAGGATCATGATTTGCGCTCCCGGTGACCGTTCCATGTTCCATATTTATGACTTTTGTCAGAACGGTTATGGGTTCTTGTGTCATATGGTCAACAGAACAGCGCTGGCAACATGATGGTGCACAAACAAAACAGCATCTCACAATGCATCTAGCACATGACGTGAATTTCATGGAGCAAGAGGATTGAACCAGAAACCAACGTGAACATGGTAATGTTTTTATTGGTGATGTTGCTCGTCAGGATTCTGCGGTGCGGGGCCGTTTGCAAGGATTTTCACTCTGATATTTGGTTCCTGCCTCTGCAAATTCTACCATCGTTTCTCGCAATTGTGAGGGTATCGCTCGCCATTCCCGGAGCTCATCCCTGGCCTGACAAAGCTGGTCCCAAAGAACAGGGACGATGCCCATGCGAACAGAGTTGGTGTCTGCACCTCTGGTCATCAACAACTCAAATATGTCAAGATGGCCTTCTTCTGCAGCTGCCACTAATGGTGTCTGCCCGTCTTCATCCGCTACCTTCACAGATGCTCCCTTCTCCAGCAGCAGCCTGCAGATCCGGATGTACCCTTTGCTCGCAGCTTCCCACAGCGCTGTTCTTCCGTCCTGTCCCACTGCATCCACAGATGCTCCTTTCTCCAGCAGCAGCCTGCAGATTCCGATGTTCCCACTGCTCGCAGCTTCCCACAGCGCTGTCCCTCCGTCCTGCCCCACTGCATCCACAGATGCTCCTCTCTCCAGCAGCAGCCTGCAGACCTCAGTGTTTTCGAACGGCCC